GTGCCTGGCACCATGCTGCATAATGGAGCGGCCTCCTCTGCCTACCTAGGACGCGATCTTGAGTGTTGATCTGGAGATTAGAGTTGGCACCTGATGCGATTTCTTAGACTGAAGTCCTATCTACCAGTCGACGGCTCGTGAGATTGGGCTGCGGCACGGGTCAGTTCCGGATGAGAGAAGGAAGACATGACGTTTGAGACAGCTCAAGCCGGCTACTCACGGGCCAAGCGGCACGTCCATGAGAGCCGCCATCATCACAAGGTACCAGGTGCGAGTAGCAACTTGTCCGACACATCCAACCAACACTCTAGGCTCCACTGCGGTTGACGCTGTGCGAGTGAAATGAGGTGAGCCCTAGGTACCCGAGCCAGCCCCCGCGGACTAACAGTGGTCACACGGCTACGTAGAACTCCGGTCACATGAGATAACAATGGCAAAGGGCGAGTCCGGGAGCTTGGCTCAGGGGTTGCCGAGATATCCTCGCAGCTCCCCGAATCGAACGGCCCGGAGCCAAGCATTCTGGACCCATAGGCTTACAAGCGTGGCAACCGGTCGCCTGCAAAGGGGGTGGCGTATACGCAGGAAGAGTTTGCTTGATGGAGGGGTGTCCCATCCAGACGCTGAGGCTGGAGGGTAAGGGGCAGGATATTGTCAGCCCGATCATCCCAGCCCCTGGCGGCAGGAGGTGAACTTGACCACCTGACGCGGTGGGACACTCGGGAGCGAGATCAACCGTGTCATCATGAGGGCAAGCTTTACTTGCCGTGCTGAAGCTTTTATCCTTCGAGCATGCATCGCGACAGGTTGGCCACCGCTACCCACTGTTAGTGCTAAGTGGCACGGCAGGCAGAGATGCAGCAGCATCGCAACTTCTACAGGTCGCTCAGACGAACGAGGCAGTTCGAACCGCCTGACCCATTTGTGGGGACGGATACGATTTGCCTTTCCATTGCTTTCCCGACCGTCTCCCGTCCACCCCTGCTCTCTCTCTCCTTTCCTTCAACTTGCTCTTCTGGCCAGTCGCACAATCGGTCACTCACCTTCCGAACCGACCGTGCTCAATCCGCCGTCTTTGTTTACTCCATGTATAGCACGGCGCCCAAGCAGGCCACAGGCATGGTGCACTCTATGCTGGGCTTCAACCTTACGAATACCGGTCCAAGGCATCCCCAGCAGCAGCCAGGATACCAATGCATCCCCTCCCGCCCCAACGAACGATACCGCCGACGGCGCAATCCAATTGCATGCAATTTCTGCAGGAGGCGAAAGGTAAAACAAGATCCACGGCGAATCAACACACAACCGGGGCTGACACTTGCCCAGATTCGATGCGCTTGTAACCAGGACACAGCAAATGGCCGCTGCGACAATTGCTACACGAGGAATTTACGATGTATATTTCAACCAGCGGGAGGATACTTGACGTCTCCCGCAAGAGATGCATTTCACACACGAAACACCCCCAACCCGCAAGCTCGTCCAGAGTTGAGCGTGGAACCATCATCGGCATATCCTCAATACTATGCAGCCGCCAGGGAGGCCAGGGCCCATCCGCCAGGGGACCGAACACCTGCCATCTCTTGCAACAGCTCAATGTGTCGTCCATCAGGTCGGGAAACAGTGACGAACCAAAGCACAGTATTCACGGGCACGAAGGGGACCATGTTCGACCCTGTCAGAGCAGCTGCACGAGAGCTGGGTGAGACTGAGAAGGAAGCTGATGCCGGAGACCTGGATGGTGCTTCTGCTCTGGTCATATTGACAGAGGGAAGGAATGCAATGCCGAGGGTCAGTGTCTGATGAGGTGGTGCAACCACCTCATGGGAAGGCTCCACCAGCAGCACCTTATGCACTCAGCTTCGTTTGTGTAGCGTGTACGGGCAAGCATGCTAGCCCAGTTGTGTCCGATTTCTTGTGGAGCGGCCCATGGCATTCATGACACCTCGGACACCCCGCACACTCCTTAACGGTCTCGCTAGGAGGCGGCGAGAAAAAATAGTTATCGTAGCAATCCAGAACAGAACAGGGCTGCCGCCCCGCCTACCTGCACAGGTGGTGTGCCACCCATGATTAACCCTAACCCGCATGGGCTGGAAGTAGAAATACACTTCATGACCATGACGCTTGGGTGTGAATGAGGCAGGCAGTCCGCTGTGGGAGTTCTCTCCCTACACTGGATGTATCAGACCGGGTAATTTTCGTGTCTCTTCGAAGTTGCGGATTCTTTTGACTCGTGTGACTGCCTATGCCTTGTTCTGCCTGTCCGCTGTGTTCGATCTGACGCCTACCCAAGCATCGCTGTTGGTCTGCCCAACAGCCCCAGAGGAGACGTTGATGCGGCAGGCCAAAATGCAGTGACTCATGTGCTATTGATAGCTCGTCGCCACTGGTGGGGGCTGTAAAACTGCACCGCCATCAAGAGTGTACCGTGACCATAATTCTAGTGGCGTATGGTAGGGTCGCCTTCGCGGAGTCCTGCCGCGGTGGCACAAGCCAACATAATATATCGTATATAAAAGGCCGGACATCCCCCTCAATATCTTGTCGTTATCACGAAGAGAAGTTAGGCAAGATACGACACCGAAAGTGCCAAACCTCAAGAAAACCGCCCTACCACCAACCATGACGAAGCGGCCTGGGGAGCCTCTCAATGGTCGCGAGAAGCGACTATGCAACGCAATCGTCCCGAACCAGTGGTCCCGGTATTTTGACTCCCAACAATGGAAACTAGCCCAGCTCGATTCAACTTCAGCAGACGCACACGTGAGCCAGACGAGGCTCAAGCTCCTAAGAATGGCTGCTACAGAGCGCGACACTACTTTTGTGGTGTTGCATCAACTTTTCTGTCAGTGGTCACTGGACAGGGCCCGTGTACACAACCTTCTTGGAATTCCTCCCGAGACTGTCGATTCAGCATTTGAGATGCTGTCGTGCCTTGGCCCGACTAGCAGCACTGGGAAGTTAACGATGTCCTCTATGCAGCTGTTTGCCTCATATCCGTTGCTGGATGCGGACTACAGTGCCGGAGCGAAGCTTTATTCCGACTTCCTGCAAATCCGCGAACAAATGGCTGTCCTTGCTTCTCATTGGGATAGCCTTGCACTCAGAGGGCCATATAAAACACGAGAAAGCGCCGTGCTCTGCCCGTCAGAGATCGTGGGAGATGCTCTGCGGGATTGGGTTTGCGTCACGGGCGGTCGAAGAAGCAAATTACCCGACCTTCCAGCAGAATTGGTCATGGAGATTGCGTCGCATCTCTTGCCTACAGATGTCACCACTCTGATACTTTCATCTCGGAGTCTCTACAGAGCAATGGAGACGCAACTACCTCACGAGAAGAAGATTCGGTGCTTGGTTGGAGGACAAGAGCGGCTTGCTCCCGCACCACGCAGTGGAATACCACCTTGGGATGCATGGCAATACCAGATACCAGCTTCCACAAGCATTCTCAACCTAATTATCCAAGCTTTCAACGACGAGACGGACTATCCTCACCTTCCGATCTTGGAGCGCTTCCTGGAAATCAAGCCGGACCTCGCCGGATGCCCCATCATGGTCCTTGAAGATGAGATGAACTGGCCTACGCTCGAGGTTTGCTGCGGGCTCAATGGCAGAGACATGCCGTGCATGTCGTCACGCGGTCGCATTCGTGGTGTGCCGCTCGCCCCTGACAAAGACGGTTCCATTCCCGACGACTACATCATCCTGGAGCCACTGCATTTGGCCGTGTATTTCGGACTGGATGCCTTTTGTCAGACATTACTACGAGCTGATGCTTCCATAATTGGCCATGAAGCCCGAGGACTGCCGGGTCTCGGCAAAGACTGGGTCTCTCCGCTGGAAATTGCTAGGAGACAAGGGTTTCGCTATCTTGCAGACATGCTTGACCCATCAAGCGTGAGACCAGATTTGTCTCGAAGAACCCCAGCCGGACTTAAGGTTCCGCCACTGTGGTCGTCAAATCCTTTCATGTTGCAGAGAGGAGGTGAAGTCGTCTGGTATACAGCCCCTCATAGTCGCGGATGGTGGCTGGGTATATGCACGGATAGCCGCGGCATGAACATCATCCCTTTGCGTCACTCCATTCCTGGGAAACTCCATTCCTGGGAAATATGAAAGACCGGAGACTATACTTCCTTACAACCGTCCGCCCCGCGACAATGAGCAAGTCGATAACGAAGCAACGAAAGCGACCGCTATTGCTATCAATGCGCAACACTCGCTTTGGGGGCGCTTGGACACCACTCTGGACCCCTCTAATCCTCGCTATTACGGATGTTTCCTCGGGGCAGAACGAGTCGAAGTCGGCGATTGTCTGCGACTTGATGAATGTCCCTGTTCTCCGAATCGTCGACGCGGGCGTTGCCCCGCGAATTCGCGCGTTCTCGCAGTACGCAACATCTTCTGTTCAGGCAGTGGTATCCTCACATTCCACGGCGACATTTACCATCTCATCAGCGGGAACGCAGAAACGCCGAATGACCTGCCATTCGTATTGGAGGTGCAGTCACGCATTGCATCATCGGGGGCATCAATATTAGGGCTACAGCCACGAGTTTGGCGACGTTTCCGAGCCGATGTTGAACGCAGGCAGCACGAGATAGCAGGTCGATATTACCCACGCTTTCAGGAGGATTGTCTCAAGTCCAGGTTTCTCCCCTCAATGCTCACACCAGCTCGACTTCACGGATTAAAACTCGTCGGAAGGTTGTCAACTCTGGGGCCGTGTAACCTGGTTCGACTCGAGGATACGCAACGAGCGCGCTGCGGAGAGGCAACAACTCAATGTTAGGAAGTCATGCACTGTAATTGGCTTCTTGTTGACCTCTATCAGACCAGGTCGAGACCCGTCAGAATGGAGAGGCTCTACGGGCCGCTTGAATCTATGGATGTTTGCCTTGCTTACTTTGCCAAGTGAGACATAGTTTGGTAGTGCGAAGAGACTGGTGCCAGACGTCGCAGCGGCCAGTAATTGGCCAAAACCGCATTGGAATCAATGATCACGAGGGGGTGTGTGGTGCACTTGAGGGCAGAGACGTAATTCCTGCGGCGGGCACCGTGAACTTGGCACACTCCATACTCCTGGCCCGGAGCTTTGGAATCGTAATTCTGAGTTCTGGATCCGGGTTGAAGATGTCAGACAGAATATCGTTGAACTCGTCTGTCAAGGGAAGGATCGTCTTGAGAAAGCCCCGGCGTTGGGTAAACTTGCGGTAAGCCCGGTCTTTCGGCAAAGCCTCCGTCTTTCGGAAGCTTGGCCTATCACCTCCAACAGTAGAAAAGTCTGCCTGTCTTCAAGTGTTATTCGAAGCTGAGGCGATAGCTACGCCATTCCCCGATGCTACTCTTCCCGCCTGCTAAGGCATCACCGAATGCCAGCGACTGACTGATACGCCATTTGGGTGAATTTGGTGTGAAATCCGATGATGATGACTCTACCGGATGCGCAGCCTACTGAGCCTAGCGCGGTACACAACTCGGATACCGCAGAAGCGGAAGTTCGATAATCTTTTGGTAGCCAGAGAAGGCGGCTTCCATTCCATGTAACCCAGCAACGATCCGCTCTGACACCTAGATTGGAGTTGCCGGCGGGTGCATTGCCGATCGAAGGGTCGGCAGATGACCATGGTGGGATCGTCCATGTGGCGACAGAGTCATAATCGGTCCACAAACATAGAGCGTCCGCCGTAAGCGATATGCGAGACGATGTAAAACCGGCATGTGATGTCTGGATACGCTCGGCCGTGACCGTTCGACACACTCAAATTTCCTTGTCAGCGACCAATGCCAGTACCGCGGAATCGTGTGAGAACGCCACCAAATGAGGACCGCCCCCACCGCACTTCAGCGTTCGGACGCATTCACCCGTGGTCGCGCGCCCGACCTGACTCGTCTTATCCCATGAATCTGATGCAACAAGCTCAGAGTCGTGTGAAAAGGCCACTGACTCGACCGGCTCGCTAGGGCCCTCGAGCCTGGATGCACTCACCTGTGGCCGTGCGCCAAACCCGAACCGCACTATCCCTGGAGCCCGATACTACAAGTGTCGAGTTGTGCGAGAGTGCTAACGACTGGACTACATCATCATTGACCCCGATTGTCTGGGTGCCTCGCCTGTAGCCGTGCACCAGACCCGGACCGTCTTACAACGGGAGCCCGATATAACTCTGTTCTCCATGAATTGTATCTCTAAAAGATTGGCTCTGTTAATCTCCAGGATCCGTGAGATTCTCTAGGAAGGCCCGATGAGAAAGTGCAATGACTACTACTCTCCCTATCTCGGTGCCAATCGCGACGGTGGACCCAGACACAGCGCAGGCGGAGGGACGATAATCTTTTGGCAGCCAGAATAGATTTTTTCCGTTCCATGTGATCCAAAATCCGTCTTCACTAACTCCAAGTAAAGAATATATCGCAGGTGTACCATTCCCCAGAGTGTCGGTGGGAGAGCATTCAGGTGTGTTAAGTCGGGTGGCGATAGCGCCCCGATCGGTCAACAATTGTGAATTGCTGTATTCAAACGCCAGGTGAGACGTCGCAAATCCCACATCGAGTGTTTGAACGCGCTCGCCCGTGGCCATGCGCCAGAGCTGAATCGTCGCGTAAGACGCTGAGGCCACGAGCGCCGAATCCGACGAAAATGCGACCGCCAGGACGGACGACTGCTTGTGTCCCTCGAACGTTTGCAAACATTCGCCGGTGGCTACGTTCCAGAGTCTGATCGTCTTGGAGCCAGATGCGACGAGCGCCGAGTCGTGCGAGAAGGCCACCGAAAAGACTTGCGAGACTGGCGTATTACAGCACTTAAGCTCCTGCACGCACTCGCCCGTGGCTGTGCGCCAAATTCGGATTGATCCTGAGCCCGATGCAATGAGCGCCGAATCGTGCGAGAAGGCCACCGAAAATACGAAGTCCTCATGGCCCTCAAGCGTCAGTACGCACTCACCCGTGGCTGTGTCCCACACCCGGATCGTCGTATCATCGGAGCCCGATGCTATCAGCGCCGAATCATGCGAGAAGGCGACCGACGTAACGACATCCTCATGGCCCTCAAGCGTCTGCACGCATTCACCGGTAACTGTGTTCCAGACCAGGATCGTCATATCATTGGAGCCCGATGCCACGAACGCCGAGTCGTGCGAGAAGACTACTGACCTAACCCGGTCGTCATGATCCTCAAGCGTCTGCGAGCACTCGCTCGCAGACACACGCCAGAGCCGGATCGTGTTGTCCCAGGAGCCCGATGCTATAAGCGTCGAGTCGTGCGAGAAGGCTACTGACGAGACCACACTACCGTGGCCCTCAAATGCCTGCTCACACTCGCCTGTGTCTACACGCCAGAGCCGGACCATCTTGTCCCTGGAGCCCGATGCCACGAACGCTGAGTCATGCGAGAAGGACAGCGAGGTGACCCAGTCATGCGACAAGGAGAACACCGAGGTGGTCGAGTCGCCATGGCTCTCAAGTGTCTGGATGCACTCGCCCGTGGCTGTGTGCCACATCCGAATTGTCCCGTTGTAGCAGCCCGATGCCACAAGCGCAGAGTCGTGTGAGAAGGACACAGACGTGACCGAGCTGCCATGGCCTTCAAGTGTCTGGATGCACTCGCCCGTGGCCGTGCGCCACATCCGAATTGTCCTGTCGTAGCAGCCCGATGCCACGAGTGCAGAGTCGTGCGAGAAGGACACAGACATGACCGAGCTGCCATGGCCTTCAAGTGTCTGGACGCACACGCCCATGGCCACCAGCCACAGCCTGATCGTCTTGTCGTCAGAGCCTGAAGCTATAAGCGTCGAGTCGTGTGAGAAGGCTACTGACGAGACCACACTACCGTGGCCCTCAAATGCCTGCACACATTCGCCCGTGTCTACACGCCAGAGCCGGACCATGTTGTCCCAGGAGCCCGATGCGACGTGCATTGAGTCGCGCGAGAACGCAACCGACGTGGCCGCAGAGCTATGGATCTTCATTATCTGTACGCACTCACCCGTAGCCGTGCGCCAGATCCGTATCAATCCATCATCGGAGCTCGATGCCACAAGCGCTGAGTCGTGTGAGAACGTCACCGATCTAACACCGGCATGGCCCTCTAGCGTCTGCAGACATCGGCTCCAGCACTCATCTACCTTTGGCTGCAGAGATATCCATTGCGGAATCAAGGGTGAGAAAGTTGTGCGTACAATACTCCTGTTGGGCGAAAAAAATAGGAGAGAGGAATATACCTGGAGTGGCGTGTTCTCGATGGCGAAACTATATGCTTGGACGAAACGCTTTGCGTCATCCAACCATTCAGAGAGTTGTATCGGCCCGTCGTCCTGACTTGGAATTAGCTGTGTGTATCCGCTCATGACTTATGTGAACCACGGACCTTGTAGAGTAGTTGCAACGCCCCAACAAGATGAGCAGTTTCCCTGGATCTGCCTATCAGGCTTAATGATTCTATCCAATGGAGGAAATGGCGCTCCAGAAAGGACATGACCTGGTCGCAATGGCGAGCAGGCGTGCCTCCGTTCCGCAAGTGATAGACCCAGTATAAACAGGCATATTGAACCTCTGGCGGAATAAAGGTCCCAATCCTGCGTTGGTCGATGGCCGATCGAAGCGTCCCAGGAGCTTTGATATCGCACATGTCTTGTCGAAGACATTCGAGCACACGCAGACAGTGCGCCGCCATCCCCTGGTGGGTCTGTTTCTCATCTATGCAGAACGGATGAGCTGCTCGTTGACCTGCGTCCACTAGGAAATCGCGGAAGGATAGATGAAGCAGCCGCACCGGTGCCTCTGCCGCCTCCGGGACACTGAGTACAGAGTGTAGCATGTCCAATTTGTCTTCAATGTCCTGTGTAGAGATGTTGAGAATTTTGGCCAGCGCTGGTACCGACAGAGGGCTTGCAAGGACGACAATGGCCCCGACAATAATTCGAAACGCCCGAACAGTTTCCTCTCCTTGGCTTAAGGTGTTCCCATGGACCATATTTTCCAATACAGGTAGGTACGTTGCAGCTAGTTGTGAGCCTTCCACGCTTGTTCGAAGAAGGACCTTGGCAAGTTGTCTATCTGGTGAACCAAGCCTTCGATCACCGATGAAACGGCACACAGTGGCGGCGAAAATGAATAGAGGGATTGCCATGTGAACAAGGGTTCTCAATTCGGAGGCGCCTGGCCATTCATCTGGCAGCTGTCGCTCCTCCCGGACCGTCGAATTGTATTCGCATCGGATTCTCCGCAGCTCCTCATGGAAAAAAGTGGTGATGTCATGCGTGATCACATGTTGTGATATCTCCTGAAGCCTCAAGTTTTGGTACTCGCCGTCCATTCCCTTGAAACCGAGACGTATTGGCAACTCCGGTCTACTTGTTAGGAACACCTTCAATCGCACCGACTGCCCCGTTCCGGCACGCGACAGGAGACGGAACATCAACTTGATGTCTTCTTCATTCTCACACTCATCCAGTGCGTCGAGGACGACGACGGGTATTGGGCTCGACGAATCAGAGGCAATCATTGAAAGCGGCTGCCAGACAAGCTTGCCAAACTGCTCACATGCCGTCTTCCTTAAGATACCGGGATCTGTTTCGATGGCGTCCTTTACGTGAGGAGCAATCGTCGGTATGTTCTTCACCAAGTCAGCTGCGATGGTAGGGAAGACCTTCGACATGCTGGTCCGATCAGTCTCGCCTCTCTTGAAGAAGAAGCTGGCGCCAAGACGATTGTTGTGGGCTAGATCGCGGGCGACAGTCCGAGCTATGGTGGATTTCCCAGTGCCGGCCATACCGTCGAGCCAAAAGACAGTCTCGGCACTAGGATCATGGGCCCACATTGACACTTGTTGCAGGAGGTCAACACGGGTTTCCCGAAGGCATGTCGGGTGATGTTCCTGAGCGCGAGAGTCAAACGAAGCACCCTTGGCTACTTCAGTCTCGAGTCGAGCGAGCACAGCCCTCCGGTCGAGATCGGAAAGCATGTTTCTGAGGATAATCATGTCAGTACCACAGCGGTGGTGTCGGCCTGATCTACCGTACGTCTGATCGACTTGTAGTGCAAGATTGATCACCTGCGTGCATCGCATAATGTTTTGCACGATCTTTTCGACTTCCTTGCTTTTGAACGGCCACGTAAGAGTGGGAAGTCCAAGCCGGGCAAATATCTCGCGTGCCGACCTTGGGCGAAGCCGCTCATACACCGCTTGCAGTTCCGATTCGGAGTGACGGACGGAGTTGCATAACTGTTGCGATGCTTTTAGTCTCTCCCCGTTTGGTCCAATGAGCAGATCCTTGACGGCATTCGCGGCGCTCTGGAGCCCGACAACTTCCAGGCGGAGTCGGACAATGTCATCCTTAGCATTCTTGACGGCCTTGCAGTATTCGACACACCAGTCAGCGACTTTGGCGGACAGGTCTATCACCGCGATGACATTCGCGGCAATATCGAGGTCTTCCATATTGGTCCACGGCTGCCGAGTGCCTGTCGATTGTCGCGAGTTCGCTGGATGGAGAGAACAGAGTCAAAGGGCCCAGCTTGCGGGGAATGGAAGGTCAACGGCTGAGCTGCCCACGCATCGCTCGCCATCGGAGGCGAACAGCACAGCCGCCAATGGGGACGACGGCGGCCTCACAACGGACGACATGGTTGGACGCGACTGGAGGCCAGGACGCCTTGTGTTAGCACAACGGCGCCCAAGGGAGCCCGTTGATTGGGTAGCAGAGTGGGAGGCAGCCAGAGAACATGCGCCCCGGCACCAATCATTCCTCCCCCCCAGTCATGCCACCAGCAAGCAAGCAGGGCTCCGATTGGGACTGCGACAGCCCCTAACAGAAGAGTACTCTCTAGTCGTACCCCATCATCGAGCTACTGTGGCATCAAGGCCATCGCGCGTTACCGGCGACTTGCAATGCGTCGGAGTATGTTTGTCGGCGTCGCCTGCGGCGCGGCGTGGGACCCCTGGCCACGGCACGGGCTCTTGTCACGAAGGGCTAGGAGTCGAATCGCTCTGGGATTTCTCTCTTCCATCAAAGCGACATGAACGCGGCGAACGAGAATCTTAGTGACACAGAGACCGGAAGCCAATCCTCCAATGCTTCCAGTATCCATCCGCTCCCTAAAGATGCATCCCCCTCCACGAAGCCAGCTCCGGCCCGAGCGTCCGACTTTGCCCTTCGTGCCGTATTTCGACTGGGCCCCGACTCAGTCGTACGATTACAACCCGCCGGTCTGCATCAAGTATGTCATGGAATGGAAGGTGGCCTTCAATAACAGGAAGATCCGAATGCATACAGAAGACAATCTCGTCGTGGCGCCCAGCGAGTTTTGGAGGGAGGAACGCAAAGATCCGCGACATCGCGAAGACGACGTCGAAGCCCAGTAGGCCCGATTCATCAACCATCGTCGTATCCGTGAACGAGAAATCCGAGCCTGCCATAACAAAGAGCTTTGCGGAGCTTGAGATCGATTGGTCCTCTGTGGAACGGCAGCTGCAAGCTTGGAGTCATCTTCTCCGCATCGGGAAGAAGCTAGAGGTTGACGCCTCGTTCAAGTTTGCGGAGAGTGGCAAGGCGGCCCGTACCGTCGGGCGTGGTGCCACTGCCACGCAGCTTGCGGAGTCTGACGTGAGACTCGATGCGGAGCAAGCATCGCTCGGTGAGCCATCGCCGTACAGGCACGTGCACCAGGTGTTCCGTTGCCCAGGACCGCCATGTGACCGTGGGCCGTACTGCTGGTTGGACCCCAATGGCCACAAACACTACAAACTCATGACGCATCAACTCAAGAGCCTCGTCAAGTTTGTGCGGGAAGGTAACACATTGCAGGGGCCTGGCGACGTCCCGGACTATATTCGCGAGCAACTATATGCCGAAGAGCAGCAGCTCACCGATCGTAGGAAGAAACGGAGAGTCTCTCTTTCGCCTGCAGAGGGAGTGCAACCCATGATCATCAACAATTATATGCCATCGGAGCAAGATGCCAGGGGATCTCTGGGACCATCTGGTGTGGTGGATACCTCTGTCCCGCGTTCGCTGCCGCTCGGCATCCCCGGCCTACGAGATGAGGCCGTCAAGGAATACTGTAGATGGCATTGCTCCCAAGTGGGGAGCTTGGACCAGAAGAAGGCATACGAGCTGGCCCGTGACCTAACCTTGGCGAGGAGCCTTCACCTGGAGCTTGTGGACGAGGACAACGAGGCGCAGTTTTACATTGACAAAGGTGTATCGGAGGGTGTGGCACGTTGTTTTGTTCGAGATGTCCATGTCTTCTTGGAGCAGTATGTGTAAGTCTAGGCGTATGTAGTGCTTAGCCTGCGTGGGTTGGAGCCGGAAATTCACTCCGGCGTTGCTGTTTCAAGCGAGATCCCAGCACGTCGAAAGTGGCCCTCTGCACTAGCTTTGCGGCGACCGACAACCTCCACACATTCCTCAAAGAAGGAGATGAAGTCGTCCTTGACAAAGTCAATCTGATCCTCCCACACTTGCCTGATGTAGGTCTTCAGTTCCCCAAAGAACTCCTCGATCGGGTTCAGGTCGGGCGAGTAAGGGGGTTAAGTATAACAGCACTACCCAGCACTTTCGCACATCTGTTGCAGTCGCTCGGAGTGATGGAAGGACGCATTATTCATGTTAGCACGGACTTCGGGTTGGGCCATCTCCCGCAGTAGGGAAGAAGTTGCTCGATGAACTCTGTGAATACCTGGGCATCAGTGGACCCCGTGTATGCTTGGAAGTGGACCATGCCATCCTGCGCATACGCGGGAAGTATTTGCATCCGCCGGCCTCGGTGGAACCGTTTGACTTGGCGTGGTCTGCTCCCTCGCGGCGCCCAGCCTTTGTTCCTGGTCCCGATGCTTCGGTCCACTCCAGTCTCGTCAATGAACACCAGCTGATCAGACCTCATACAGGAGATCTCATGCATATACTCGTCTCGCAGTCGTGCATTATGCTCCTGGGCCACGTTTTGTGTCGACTTGAGTGACCACCCAGCGGCCTTCAAGGCTCTACCGACGCTAAAACGTTTACATCGGCTTCGAACTCGTCGTTGAGGAATGCAGCCATGTCTTCTAAACTCAAAGACGGTTCGGATCCGAGCTTGTCCAGCAGTGCGGTCAACATGAGAGGAGATATGGACTTCGGTCGACCACCGCCGTTTGGCAGTGCCTTGGTCGATCCGAAGAGGAGCAGATTCGATCGGATGCGGCGTACGGATCGAGTGGAACAGTTGGCTGCACGGGCTATCTCTTTGTTCGTGAGCGTCTTGTCACCTTCTGACTTACTGCGGATCATGTCACGAATAGCGAGATGCTGGGACCAGGCAAGATTTGGCGCCATCAGGGCAAAGGCAGACCTTACGAGAAGGTTGACGAAGTCAGGAAATTGGCGAGGTGTCACTAGCGAGCCAGGCCAGTCGTGGCCGACGGCCGGTTAAGCTACGGCTAATATTGACCAGGTTCCTGATTTCTCGTCCTCAAGGTGGACCCGCTTTTCTTTGGCAGTGGGACGTGGTCAGTGCTCTCCAGAGATCAGACAAGAGTGTGTACTGGAGGACGGGGGTTTCGCTCATAGCTGTAGGAGCCGCCAGAAGGGTCTAGGGCCGACACCCCAGACTTCTGCCCAGACTTCTGCCCAGACTTCTGCCCAGACTTCTGCCCAGACTTTCCCACCACCTGTCTGTACCTTGGCTCATGCTGAGGTCACGCGGGAAGGAGCCTCTATTCCCAAGTTGACCGTTCATCGCGTCGTCAAAGCTTGCTGCAGACGGAGTCGGCTGAGCCAAACTGCCTCACTACCGGAATGGCGTACGAACTACCGTGGGAGGGTCTGCGGCCGACACTCTAGACCATCTGTGTCCGTCTGTTCCCCCTCAAATCCTCTCGTGGCAGGATCAACACCGCACTATACTTACGCATCCGAAGATTCGATGCAGGAGTAGACGCACAAATATGTAAGGCTATGTAGTCACGCACCAGGTGTTACCACAATCAAGACTGTCCTAGCTCCAGATCTCGACGGCGGCTTCGAGAAGCAGATGTAGGAATTCGTACCACATCCTGAATATTGAAACGATCGAGCATCCGGAGACGTAGGTAGAGGAGAAACCGGTGGCAGTCAGTATGGGGTTCGGAAGAACGCCGCAGCGATAGGAGTCTCAGGACATGGTGGAAATGCTTCTCAAGCAACAGGCCGAGAGGATTGAGAATGAAAGGCGACACTTCATTTTCACTCATGTCTCGAGTCTATTGGGGACAGGACCCAAGAAAGTTGTAATACAGTACATTAGATCTAATTCTTCTAGAAGCACGCTTCGTTTGCTGCAGAGAAACTGGCATAGAGGCCGCGCTGAATTGCACGAATCTTGTTCCTATCACGGTGCTCTGTAGCCTTTAGGTCCAATTTTATGCCTTCCACGTTTGTATCCACTATATAGCGGCGTCGTACAATAGAATTTCGAGAAGGTACGATGGCTCGCCGGGAGTCAAATCGTGCAAATTGCTCTAACGTCGAGGGCGGTGGCCGCAGACGTGGTGCAGCCGAAGTCTGGATTGCCGAAATCACAAGTTCGTTGCTCATCGACACTGATGAAAAGCGTCTGTCAGGGTGGGGGAAGTTCATGCTCGGGCGTCGTGCATGCCATCACTAGTAACTCTGTGATCCTAACTGAGTGCGATGGGACGTGCAGAGTTTTTCGGGGGAACTGGGTAGCGAACAAGAAGAACCGGAGCGATTTCTGGATCACTTGGTCCCTTACGTAGCCGTTGAAGCCTGAGTAGTGTGAAGCATGTAGGCTTGCAGGATGAGTGGTGTGAAGCCAAGTCGGCTTCAAGGACGAGTGGTGTGAAGGTCCCAGGATGTGTGGTCTGAAGCAAAATCCGCTTGCAGGACGTGTGGTGTGAAGCATGTGGGCTTGCAAGACGTGTGGTCTGAGTCTCATAGGACGAGTGGTGTGAAGCATGAACGCTTGCAGGATGTGTGGTGTGAAACAAAATCGGCTTCCAGGACGGTGGTGTGAAGCTCGCAGGACGAGCGCTGCAAAGTTGCCCCCGCTGCTCGCAGGCTTTTCCAGCTCATGCCCCCACCGCAGCTTCATGATGAGGGATCCCGCGTCCAGGTTCTGGCGAAACTGCCAGGGCAAGGGGTAAGACCAGGGGGGGCACATGGGTGCAGACAAGGATCGGTGTCCCTTGTCATTCAGCACACCAGCAGCTTCTTTGCTTCACACCACTCGTCCTGCAAGCCTGCATGCTTCACACCACTCGTCCTGGAAGCCGATTTTGCTTCACACCACAAGTCTCCACACCATCGCACTTGACACCCTCGCCATGCTTGCTTGCCTGCAACGCTGACAGCCTCGCCTGAGCGCTGACAATGGCTCGTGCTGGGTGCGGTCGTGCAGTCGGCCGGAAAATGTCAACCCGCAAAGTTGACCGTCCATCATCAGTCGTTGAAACCCGCTGCAGTAGGTAATGGAGCCAAAACTGCCTCATATGAGAGTGGGGGAGACACGTCCACGGAAGGGTCTAGGAGCGATACCCCAGACCCTCTGTGTCCGGTATGTTCCCAACCGGTCTCGTCGAATGACCTGGCCCGCGCTCTACTCTAGGCTTTCACGCCGACGTGATGTATGCTACGGCGCATGTTTGCCCCCATGAAAAAGAGTATGCTGATGCGTTGGACGGTTGGACTCTGACGAAGAGCGCGAATTTGAATCCGAAGATGACGGAGGCAACTGTCAAAGTCATTTCAACCGGCTCACCCCGCAAGGCAATGTCTTGGCTCAGCACAGCCAATTGCAAGATCAGGTAGCTAGGCAATCGGTCCCTATCAGCTTTACGTTGTTCTGACAAATGGGGTGCAGCTGGAGCCTAAAAACATGTACCTTGGCCGAGATTCTTGGCACCGCTGGAATTGTTCCGCTCAAACAGTCTCGAATCCGATCGTTGAGTTTGACGAGAGACAATACCTGCACAGAACGTGCAGCATGGACTTGCTTCCGCAATTGGCGGAGAATGACCTGGAAAGCCCCATGTCACCTGCACCTTGATGCTCTGTTTGTCGCCCTTCTAGACCAATTCAATTCAGCATATTTCCGTCAAGTGGAAAGATATGTGGGGTTTTCTAAGGGGCGATACTGTAGTGCCGATGACCATGAAGATGTAGCTGCGCAGAATATCTGGACCTAGGACACTCGTCGAATTCTTGGGCGCTTGTCGTGCCTAGGATCTCGTCGTGAGCCAAGCCGGCTCCGTCGAATCCCTTGCGGTATGACGTTAAAGCATTCTGCTGCGTCCCCAATCGTCCGCCTTGGTGCTCCTGTCGTTCACGTTCGCAGATTGACGTCGTCGGGACCGTTTCCGCGCTCCCGCGCCGCGACGCCGATGTCGCCTACCCATCTTCCTTGTTATTCTTTCGTTCGATGACTTTTGGAAACTCCAGGTCTCGTTTAACTGTGCAGTTTACTTAGTGACTCTAATGTATATGTTGAGATGCCCATCTTTGTCATTCGAAATCTGCGGCGGAGGGCTGCTGCCACTAGGCGTGACCGTTAGGTAGCAGTTCTGCGGCAGGTAGAAACTAATGATTCCCGTTATCTCACAGTTTGTTTCCTATTGCTAGATGTCTACGCAACGTAGAAACACTGCTGCCGCTGCTGGAGTGCTCGAACGTAGTCCAAAGTATGGTGCAATGTCTAACTATGCTTCCTCCGCCTTCGCTTGTTTTTCGTTTCGCGCTTGACGCGGACTTCCGGGTCTATTGCCTTCTCTGGCACCCACCATGACCTATCTTCGTCTGCTCCGTCGAAATTCAAGAACAGTATCTTGTACCACAGTGCTTTGCCCCTGACCTGCGTATGGAGTATCTCAATCCTGTCCTGGAAACCTCGATAAGTTCTTTTGAGTTCAGCAATGCTCTGGTCAGGGACGTTCCTTTCTGGCTCCCAACTTGTACTCCCCCCTCCCACTTAACCAGAAACAGCTCCGTCCTCTGAGTCTTCCACATTGCAAGCAAGCTTTCGATGGGATATTGATCTGGACGTTGTTCATTGTCCGAGATGGATGATTCAGACACAGAAGGTGAGACCGACCAACCAGACTCATCGTCTTTGTGATCGTTGCAGGGTGTGGAAGATACCGCGGTAGCCGGCATGTTGTTTTTCGATGCACCAGATGGACAGCATTTCGCACGGAGATGATACAATGCACTGACACACAGCGAGGGAACATTTCGTTCTACCTGGGAGGCAAGCAACGATCGGACAATGAGAACTGGGCACCAAACATGGAAGC